TCATTCCGTCAATTGATTCAAGCATTGTTTCCAACTTTACGCAAGTGTGCAAAATTTTAGATTGATTGGACAGGTAGGAAAAAATGGGTTAAATGGGTTAAATATTGATTATAAGATTTGTAACAGTCTGGCAGACAAATAAACAAGAAGTAAAGTTGAAGAGAAGTGTTGTAATAAAAAATTAAGTACAAATAAGAGCATACCATCAAACGGGGTAATAAGGGATGGTTTGAGCATTTTTCCTCAATAACTTCTTACCATGAAACATTTCATAAACAAGTTTGGGCTCATTTTAATGGTATTTGCAAGGGCCATTGTATGGCATCTCTGAAAAAATTCCATGTGCTATTCGTAAGATGCCAGATGCAAAATGAAAGCCTCCTGAACAACCCTGGGAATGGGGTAATAAGGGACACTTGAAATAAAACTAAATTTTGAAATGTTTGAAGCATGCAGAGTGTGCTCATCCATTACTAACAGTTAATAATATCTGATTGGTCTGCTGGTGTTGCTGAGTGGTTGTGATGTCACACTTGGTTGTGAGATGGCTTTGTGCTGCGCGCTGATTGGTTCAGGGAGCGCCAGTAGCCTACGTGGCGTGGGCTGGCTGTAACGTGACGCAAGAAGTTGGCGGCAATGCTGTTGGGGATAGGAGTCTAGCGTGAACCATGATAGGGTGAGCATCTTGCGAGCATGTGCTATTAACAGAGGTGGGCAGTAGCGCGCTACATGTAGCGGCCGCTACATTTCTAGTAGCGGTAGCGGCTCTACATTTAAGGCAATGTAGTGGTAGCGGTAGCGCCCGCTACATATTTAAGTAGCGATACGAGGTTTTGCCGCTACAGCGCTACCGCTACATTTATAGATAAAGCCTTTAGATTTTACTTAAGGGGACTGGCTACCCTCCAACAAAACTTTTTTGTTTACAGACGGATCGTTTTGAAACTTGGTAGTACACATATGTAAAACAGAAATCTAAGACCTTTTTGTTCATATAAATTTAAAAAAAAATGAAATAAAACGTGGAATTAATAGAAAACGGCATATATGGGGTACTCTAAAAATTTTTATAACTTTTGCAAATCACATGCTACAATGTCGAGACACATATAATTCGATTTGTAACAACAATATCTAGCAACTGTAGAGCCCAAATTTATTTTCCTCATCGTTTTTTTCGCGTTCTTCCCATTTTTTCACATTTTTATCCCCCCACCTTCCTCCCCCTCCCATATATAAGTCAAATCATGCACATATTAAAAAAAGGCTTCTAGAGTCGCTAGGTATTGTTTTTACAAATCGAATGGTATGTCTCTCATTGCCGTAGCTTGAAAACTGTTGTAGTTATAATTTTTTTAAGATGGCGTTTTTTGGATTTTTAATCCCCTTAATAGTATTAAATATTATTTAAAAACCAGCATGATACATACATAATATAAATTACAGAATAAAACTCTACGAAATATTTCGGTGTAATGTTGTCAACCTCAGCCTGTTACTAGTGTCAACATGTTAGTTGTTACTTGTTAAGTTGTTACCAGTTACCACTTACAGGTTTTTTCATCTTTCAGTTTGCTTATAGTTATTTTTACACAGTTATTTTTATGTTACACCTTCCCTACATGGATGTCTACTTTAATCTACCAATCTCAAAATAATCCACATATATATACAAAAAAAAGACTGATTTTTATATGTATATGTGGATCATTTCTTAGATTGGTAGATTAAAGTTCACATCCATGTAGGGAAGGTAAAACATAAAAACAACTAACTTTTATTTACTGTATCTAACCCTGGGGTAACCCATACTAGTTCAGTTAGGTTCATTGCAATAAAGTTGCATTGATATGTTTTAAAATGTTTTATTATCATTAAATGTTAATGAGTAAATCCCAATAGCAGAACAATAAATATTTAGAGATTTCCAATAATTTTGGCCATTGTAGCGGCTAATTTAGCGCGCTACATTTTACTGTAGCGGTAGCGCCCATTACAATCTAGTGGGTGTAGCGGTAGCGGTAGCGTCCGCTACATTTAGAGCATGTAGCAGTAGCGGTAGCGCCGCTACATTTCCAAGTAGCGCTGCCCAGCTCTGGCTATTAACACTCTGAAGTCCTCCTCTTCCATTGTAGATTATGTAAATGTAGAATAAATGACATTTTCAGTCATTTTCACTGTTTTTTTATTGATATGATATTACCTTATCCATACATTACCGTATTATTGATGTGATATTACCCTATCCATAGACATGCCATTGAGCATTGACAACAACCTTGTCCACTGCAAGCTTCATATCAGCAGCCATGTAGCATTTCTTCTGTAGGTAAGCTTACAGGACAGCTTGTAATTTTGCACCATTTTAATTGAGTCAAGTGAAATCACTATAACAAAAAAAAGATTGTAAAAAACGTGCCTGAAACACAAAGGAATCTTTTAGTGACAACCATCATATTTTTTGAGAAAAAAATCATACTTTAGATTAATTAGGTACTTTTCCTTCTATGATGCCCAGTGAACAATTCTATTTATGACATTCTATGCACAGTTTGGCAATGACCGATGATGCACTAATTTGTTGTCAAGTGAAATTTTTTTGCTGAGGAAAGTAAATCTAATCAAAATTCTTTGCTGTTAATTAATTTTTTTTATTAACTGGAACCAAGGCTATACTGTAAATGCATTTTTGGGGGTGTGCCTTATTACCCATTGTGCGGAAATGGTCGCCATTTTTTTCTGAAATGAGATACGCTAATTCTGTCAATCACGTTTTTAAGCAAACACCAGTGTGCAACTTTTATGTAAGTAAGATTTTTCAATATGGCAATTATTTTTTCTGCTACAGACCTCCTTAGAGGTCTATATTTTGATTAGTTCAGCTGCTACAACATTTCTACAAAATGTTGGAGGACTGTTTCTTTTTACCCCGCCCGTCCCTTTTTATCCCGTTTGACGGTACCTACTAAAAAATTATATATTAGAGCCACAATATTTGAACAGAAAAAAGTAGGACTTTTCCTGACCTGTTCCCCAGTCAACTAAGAACTTTACTAGGCTAAGAAACAAAAATTATTTATAATCAATGTATTAACACAGCCTCATAGAATATAGGCTCCATGTTGTTAGACTGGAGTGAGTCACTGGACCATGGTGTGTACAATGTCAATTGTACTTCAAAAGTTCATAGTTGTCATAGACATAGTGATAGAGTGACTGTGACATAGAGTCATAGACTGTTCTCAAAATGAGTACCTAGCCTAACTGTAACTGTAAGTAACTGGTAAAGATTTACATTGTAGGGTAAATGCGGTATATTCCGACATCGTAGGTAATTCCGTCACCTCTACAGCTTTTCCTTTATATTAAGCTTTGTTTTAGTTCCATGCGTTCATTGATGGTTGAAATGGTGACGTCATACATTTGCGTGTCGAAATACTGCAAAAACACTAGGTCTTGGCCATCTAGTGGGAAAATATTGAGATTGAATAACCTATGGATTGCCACCATGAAGTGACGGAATATAGGGATTTGGTAGGTTTCCATTCTAAAGGCTTTTTAATAAATATGGCAACATTTTGTGACGTTTCATCGTTGCTGACGCGTAGTGAAGTGTTTTGAGAGTCATGTGAAGGCAACAGAACTTACGTAACGCATTCGGTTTTTTTTTATAGTTTTTCATTTCTCGATGCGTCCTTAATGTGTCGGAATATACCGCGTTTACCCTATTTTGTATTATTACATAACTTTAGGTATTTTTCATGATTAATGGAAATTAATTAATTTACGGTCAAGTCTCAATGGTCAATGACAGTGATTATGAGTTATGACACAGACACAGCCACACTCACACTGCCCACACCACACAAGAGTCCCCAGTCCCCACTAAGCAGAAACTGCACAAGCACACACCTCGAACTTTGAACCTCACCAACTGACCAAGGGCCAAGGCTCACAGACTCAGTCACAGCCTCTTAGCACTCACTCACACTCACAGAGCTCTGACCCTCTGAGCTCATCAGTCACTAAATCCCTTATAAGATTGATGACTGATCAGATGATTCAGATTTATGAGTTGGAGGGTTTAAATTCAATAAAGATGTGATAACTACTAAGCTGATTTAGAATGAGCTAGAAAGGTTAAGTTAAATCTAAAATAGATGGTTTCTACTTTCTATTGAACTATAATTGAAGGCAGAAGAGTCAGCGACTCAACTGCTGCGGCGACGTTATCGTCATTAACCGTAATATAATGTGCGCATTTTAACATTTTATGCAATCATCCAAGTTTTTTAATTCCTAATAACTTTGGCAGGTACAAGAAAAAAAATTAAAGGCAGAACACGGGGGTTTGCTTTGGTGGAATTGTGGAAATTATATAGATAATGGCAATGAGCCCTTTTCCGGGGTCCGGCCTCCGGGGAACCGGCGTATTCTTTGGCTGTCCGTTTAACTATTTGCAACTCGGTCAAGTATACGTGTACACATACTTTTCTGTCCTGAATAAAAAGGAAACAAATCTTTTCGATTTACAAACACGACTTTTCACTGCGATACTTTTTAATTGTCGGATAATAATCCGATTCATAACTACCTCTCAACCGATTACTGAAAACTGCAACAGCTCGCACTTAGGCCAGGCATATGCGAGTGAAATGAGCCGTAAAAAATTCCTTTACGTTAAATGTTTGCAGTTTTGAACGAATGTCAGCATCGCTGTGGCTTTAAAAACATCAGATTTTTATCAGACCGCACGATATCTTCCCGAACTTTACCTCTCAAGAAGAAATAAACGCTTCCCAAATACCATCTTAACTAACCTGCCCCTTTACTTAACTCACCAATGAACTATGTAAGCAATGCTAACTTTAGTTAAAATAACTATTACTTTACCAAATGATCCATAGCAAATGCACATAATAGGTTAATAGCTTTTAGACACAGGTGTCAAACATTACAAATTTTAACTTAATATCGGGTATTTATAAATGAAACGCTCATTCAACGTGGAACTTTTGTTTGGCATTTTCTGATGACAATGATGGAAAGCAAGTATGTACATGAAAAGAAACACTAAAGAAAACTTTTGCAAAGTTATGGAAGTCTAGATGCCAAGTCATGAAACTAACCACAACGAGATTAACTGAAGAACTTGTAAAAAAAACGACAAGTAATCAAGCTACTGAAGAAGAGACAATAGTTACTAAACGACCTTCTTAATGCTTCCCAATACATTTTTTGAGAATAAGACTATGGTTTTTTTTTCGGGAGGCATCCTAATGTTCTCAGCGGTTATTTGATTCAAAACTGAACTGCAATCATACTGGACTGAGACATTGGTCAAGTCCTGAACTGAGACAATGCTCAAGTCCTGAACTGAGACAATGCTCAAGTCCTGAACTGAGACAATGCTCAAGTCCTGAACTGAGACAATGCTAAAGTCCTGAACTGAGACAATGCTCAAGTCCTGAACTGAGACAATGGTCAAGTCCTGAACTGAGACAATGCTCAAGTCCTGATTCCAAAAATTTCAATGCCATTTTTGGATTACTCACCAGCCTATCACATACGATTCATATCGGTCGTCATAGTACCACTGAGATTGTAAACTCGAGCAATGAATCACTCCATATCCGTAACATGGATGGTACTGTTAAGGACGTGTACAAATACGACTGAAGTACACGAGTGTTCGGGAATATGCTCTAAAATTTTGTTAGGCTTGGGTTGTAACGGCATAGCCTCTGAATAAAAAGCAAGCTGAAGTTGACAAAGTAATAAGCAGCCAACTTTAATAAATTATCGTCTCAAGGGTTCATAATGCAATCAGTTACCTATAGTCTCAACAATGAAGGTTTATTATGTTGGAATTCCTACTCGAAAAATGAGTTATACGAATCATCAGCAACCATAATCTTGTTTAAGACAATCACACAAAACATCAAAACTGCATGAAAAAATTAGCCAATAAAAAAATCTATATAATTCTAGGAGAAAATAACTGTCTGCAACACCATAATGTGGTAATTCCATTCTCTGCAAACGATATCAGTCTATGCTGGGAACTTCAGACTTAAAAACCCTAAGTATATTTAACCCAATTCTGGTCATTTAAAACCACTTGCACATTCGTGAACTACTGATTACCACTTCCAACAACATCAATTTCTTCATCCGCATATAGTCATTAACTCCGGTTAATACAAGCCTTACTGATCATTTAGCTTGAAACATCCTCTGAATATATGCTCACACTTACGAGACCTCCACCCCGAACACCAAGAGGAAAAGATTAGAAAGAATCATAGAGGATATCATGAAGCATATTCCAGTCGAAGAATAATTCAGCTACGAACTACATATATAACGTAGTAGAAATGAGTCCCATAAAAAGCTAGGGATGTAATATTTCCTCCACACATTATTCAGCTTAAAATGTTTCAATAAGAAACTATGGCGTTGATGATAGCAATCAAGCCACTAGCACAGCGCGATCTTTAATAGCTAGCCATGAAGAAGGCAGGACCTGGAGCAGCACAAATATATCTACCTTTTACCATTGTTAAAATTCACAGGTCTCATAGGGGCATTGAAATTAGCAGCAGCTTGTTGTTGCAGTTGGTAAGCCATGGGGTGAATCTTGAAGCCATAAAGTCTTGGGACAAACTGAGTGCCAGGACGCTTTGGTCGGTACTCAGGATGCACCATGAAGAGCATGTGAGGAAATCCTGTGCCGAAGTACGAGCCGTCGATGTGATTGTAGCGCGATGATTTGGGAGTGTAAACATCACAGCAGTTGGGGCAATACAGCTTCACCATAGCCTCGCCAGGCACGTCACTCAAGCCGATGGGCAGCATCGGCTGCACATACAATGAACAAATATTATTAACTCGTACAGAAAACAGTTTCTAGTTTAAAATTATAAGGCATAGACGAATGGAAAACTCAGAATATGTAAGGAAGCAAATGAAAAATTAGGTAAACAATTTCCATTATCAGGAGCCACCAAACTTTCTTCAGAAAGGGCCAAGAGCAAGCTTTCTGAAACCTTCGTAGGCCGGTCACGCCCTTCACTATTTTACAACACTTCTCTTTAACTTCACTTCTTGTCTGTCTGTCTGTCTGTCTGCTACAAATCTTATAATCAAAATTTAACATACTTCTACTTATCCTATCTATCTGAAATTTTGTACACTTGTGTAAAGTTGGAGACAATGCATGAATCAAATGATAAAATAAATTATTTAAAAAAATTTTTTTTTTCAATATTAAAAAAATTGGAAAAATAATTTTGTCAGCTAGAAAATTTATAACTGATATTTGACACACTTTTACCTGTCCAATTGATCTGAAATTTAGCACACTTGTGTGAAGTCGGAGGCAATGCATGAATCGATTGACAGAATAAACAATTTTGAAACAAAATTTATATATTAAAAAAATTGAAAAATTAATTTTGTTAATATTCGAAAATTAAATGAGAAATTTATTGTTCATCTGTAACATTGGAGACACCGGATTCGTTAGAAGTGTTGTCTTTAAAAATTAATTTTTAAACGTATATTTTTTAGATCATGCATAACCAGAAATAAACGCCACGCTCGATTTTTGTACACATTATGTTGAAGTACGAGATAACCTCGGCCGGCCGGATGGAACCTAGCCGCGGGCCGTAGTTTGGAGAGCCCTGCTACAGATTAAGTAACTAATGAACTGCACATATGAAGATGTTGAATTAACTGACTAAAACTGACATACAAAACAGGGATTTTTCACTCAATATCAGACCTGGTTCTCACAGTAGACCCCCGGACAATGCACAATATCAGACCTGGTTCTCACAGTAGACCCTCGGACAATGCACAATATCAGACAATATCAGACCTGGTTCTCACAGTAGACCCTCGGACAATGGCCAAAATCGCCAGCTTGGTATTTTTCAATCATCTGAGCGATGCCTCTGTTGGTGAGGATGTAGCGGGCATGGATGAGGCCGTAGAGCATCTCAGCCGCCTGCTCCACCAGGTCACTTTGGTGCGGAAGATCTTCTTCATCATCTGGGGTATGGTTTGGTCACCAATTATTTGTTATAACTGAATATTGTCTTTACATGAAAATATTTTGATGTGAATCTTTCAGAATTTTGTTCAGAATTAGATTAATGCATAAATATCTTTGATAGTTTGATATGTTAAATTTCAGGATGACACCAATTCACTTTTACACATTCTAAATTATAGATCAATACAAGACTACCTCAATAATACTCATTATTCTTTACTAACCGGAAACATGGGATTTATACTTGGAAGTGATAAATCTAATTTGTACTGAAACATGACATGAAAGAATCCTTTTATTATTCTAGGCTGTCCACATTTAATAGCAATACAATTTTGATGACAATTCAAAGTTTGAAATTGTGTTACAAGAGTTGGAAAATATTTAGCATATAGATGTCATTAAAGCAAGAGGTAACAATGTAGCAGTGGCATGCCAACTCTCACCTGTAAAAAATTTGAATAAATGTACAAATTAACAAGCAATGTCTTACAGACTTGCTCAAATACTCAACACTGACCTGGTTCTAGGTCAAGGATCATATCCAAGGCTTGTCTGTAGTGAGGGACTTGCTCGTTTAGGCCTGTTAAGTTGAATTTATCTTGGATGTAGTCTTCATCAACCTAAAAAAATGAAATCAATAATAACCATTTGCAGAGAATAATAAATATTGTCTTGAATTCAGTTTAGAGTTCAGGCCAAAAGAGTTCCATCAAAATTTCAAAGATATCATTGCATATTTTTTGATATCTATATAGCTACATGAATTCAAGAAGGGAGGAGAAAAACAGTTTACAGTCCATGAATACATTTAAATTTACAACCATAATTCATTACCAATGTTTGACAACTGTCAAAGGCCAGCTCAATTATTGAAGGGTAAAGTAACAAACTACCAACTTAATTCATCATGAAAGAATGATGACATGCACGGAAGAATGACACGAAAGGAATAAATCATCAAAGCTAAGTGAAGGATTAAAAAATCTCAAATTTTTAGTGTAAAACATTGCTGACTTATGTACATTACAATTTTTTGCATAAAAGTATGCTTCTATTACACCAAACACATCATTTCACTCATCAAATTCAAATTATGGGGAAAAAACTGATTTAGTCATAGAGCTCTCTGGACTTTAAAAAAGTCAAATTAGCACAACATTGCTTCCTGAAATTTATGTGAGAATTTAAATCATCAGCATAGCCCAGACTTCCATGCCCTAGCAATACAAAGTATATGGGTCTCAATAAAGTTTAAATATCAATAAAAATATCAGAATTGATATGAATCATAAATACGAGAACTCACCTCGCAGAAAAATTCATTCCCCCTGAGGCCACAGAACCAAGCAATCCATGATACTTCTTCCGAGCTACTCATGTTGATAATTTTGAAGCGTAATAATCACAAAAATCTGCAGAAAAGATGGAGAATCTAAACAATAAATTTCAATTCCATGACTAATCAATAAAACATGTTGTAAAGGACAACATATTAATATTTAAACTTCATATCAGCCACTCAAGTGATTAAATGCATACTTGCCTAACCCTCTTGAATCTAGAAAGATTCCCATTGTTGTGAATAAATAAGGAGAACTTTGAATATTACTTTAATACATATAATATTAGTTGATAGTACTCAAAGTTCAAATCCAAATGGTGCCATGAGTGCATAATAAGGCCTTAAGATTCCAAATGTTTAGAAATTATGTCACTTGGAGCTAAGTGGAGATTGGGCAGAAGCCACCCATGAATTGGACAAAAACGCATGTGAAAATTACCAATTTAACTTATTCCTATGGCCTTTTCCTAATTTTTTCACTAAAAATAAAACTAAAATTCCTATTTTCACCCATGATTCTAAGAAATCTCCTGTGAAATGATCATTCTTATGCACAATTTTAGGAGACCTCTGCCAGAATGATCCAAGGAGCAGTACATGTATATAAACTTAATGACATAATACTGTAATTACAGGTGCCTCTTGGTTAGTAAGTTATTTTCAAGTTATCAGTATAAAACTGATCAGCAATTTAATTAGCACAGTTTTCAATTAAAAAATGAAAACATTGGAAAGGCACTTATGTAAATAATATAATATACAGAAAGTAATAGTTAAAAGCTGATCAAATATCCAATTATTTCTTATAAAAGCTAGCAACTAAAGTCATTTAGCAGCTCAAGTGTGCATGTGCCATTGAATTGGTCAGTTTAAATAGAATCATATATACCAGTCTCACGATGATATAGGTTTTTAGAGAATCTGCCTGCACAAAGCAATCACTCTGCTCATCAATATGTGTGAAATCAATGATAGGAGATCCAAAAATGCAATGAAAATTTAACATGAAGGCAGTCAAGAAACGTGCCTTTGGCAACCAAACAAGCTAGCGGTGGACAGTGACCAGTGCTCCAAGGAGCCAAAAAAAATTGTGATAGTTTGTAGTCTGGCAGCAAGCTAACAACTCCTGTGTTCTGAGATTTGTATGTGATATAGATTAGATTGTGGCATTGTGCATATTTTTTATTGTGATAGTGTGCATATTTTTGATTGAAATACAGCATTATTGACATTATTTTGCACTGGTGATATGAACTGAAAACCTTGAAAGAGAAACAAAGGACAGAACTCAGGGAAGAGGGCTGGAAAGATGACTGAGCAGCCAATGAAAGTAAGTCATTGTCACTTTTTCAGTTATTTATGGCATTTTGCAACCGAAGGAAGTTGATAAGAAATTTCACAGTTCAAATCTCAATTTTTTCTATTAAAATAACTTTTGAAACTCCTACAATTTCTAGGTGGATGGTCTCACAGGGTTGGATTGTTCATTCTGAGCAGGGAGTGTAAGTCCACTGAGTTTAAACTGGCACACGGAGCCTTGTGAAGTTGTGATGGGTTTAGACAGCCACAGGTTGCCACTTGCCTGAGCATTTGACGAAGAGGTGGACTGCCATAAGTACCTCCCTTCCTAGATCTCAACTATTGGGCAGGGTCCCTTATTATCCTGTCTTGCAAAATGGCAGCCATTTTGTTTTGGATTGAGGTACAAAAACTCTGTCAATGAAGTTTTAATGCAAACACCTGTCTGCAACTTTTTTCGAGCAATATTTTTTAATAATGCAAAAATTGTTTTTTAATACAGACCATAGCTGAAGTATGATTTCAAATTGTAACTTTTCAGCCATTTTTTCAGATTTTTTTTGGAGCTAGTATAAGTATGATTTCTTTACTTCCTTTATGCTATATTATGATATAGATAAAAAAATTAAGTTTACATCACTTTTTCTAGTTTTGCAATATTTCAATTAGTTTTTCTGCTATAACATTTTCATGCTGCAGGCCTGCAAAAGTCCCATTTTTGTGAAATATTAACATCATATAATTTCAGTAGGTGTGAAATCTTTCAGCCCTAATGCCACATTCAGGATGATGTATGTTTTCAGGGAATTTTCCTGAAAAAATTCCAGGGTGTCTTTTTTTAGGCCATTGTTGAGCACAGCCAGCACCAAAGAATCTAACTTTTCTTTTTGTGCAGGTGTCGGCACAACTCCTGGCCATCCCCACGTGCACGCAAGAGTCCACGCAGATGCAGTTTGTCAAGGGACAAGAGACAGAAAACTTCTAATACTCAATTTTTATACAATACCTTTTTGCCAAATATAATCCAAACTATAAAGAAATTGACAAAAATGACTGGATGGTTTCTAGAGATTTTATTTACAAATCAATTGGTATAGGTCTCATTGCTGTAGCTTTAAAACTCTAGGAGATAGGTTTGCTGTGACAATAAGTTAACTTTTCAGTAGAGCCTGACAAAGTCACGCGCACCTCAAAATAGACATTCAAGGGTGAAAGGTTGCAAGACTAGATGATACTGGAGCTCAATTTCTGTCACGGATGGTGCGAACGGTGGCACAAGAACCATCCCGTACAACTGCAGGCAGATAACTGGAGCACAGCGTGTTCAGACTGGCTATTTAAGTGTGCTACTGGTAATTTCAGCCTATCTTGAATGTTAAAGAACACCACCACCCTTGACTCTTTCGCGATCAGTCGTGAACGCATAAATCAACGTACAGAGATGGTTTTGGTACCTTTAGATGCTTCAGAATGTAAGCTTTGGGATGAGTATGAAAACCAAAAAGTCCAAATTTTTTATTTTAGGGTAGACGCTCCCCTTATGAAGACAAATGTCAGTTTTGCTGTTCAACTCTTTCAAGGGTAAAATTAGAGATTTGGTATAACACGTGCACGGACTTTGTGAATAAGTTTGAGGCTTATAAATGGCTTTTCACGGCTGAAATATGGAATTCATGGCTTGAAGAATTGGATTCACGGCTCAAAGAAATCAAGTCACGGCTGGCAAATCCATAAAACCACGGCTCAAAAAATTTAGTCGCAACTCAGTGGCTTCGACTCACCAAGTAGATATATTCCATGCCTGAATAATAGAAAGTGAATATGCTGTGACAGAAGAGTGAGAAGACTGTCCCAATTTGGCCCATCTGTACCTTACTACCCCTTTGTAATTGTTGGTAGGGTAAACACACCATAACCATATTCCAGCACTGTGGGTAATTCTGAGTTCTGACACAGTGAGTGCTGACACCCCACAACTTTTTCCTTTATATTAAGCTTGGTCTTAGTTCCATGCATGCGTAGATGGTTGAAATAGTGACGTCATACTATTGCGCACCAGATTTCCATAAAAGAGCAAAACACTAGATCTAGCAGAAAATGTTAAGATCTGCAGAGCAAAAGTCCAAGTCAACTAGTGAGAACATTGAAACATGTATGAAAGTTTATAGTTGACCTTGCTTTACTAAATAGTAATAAACTGTTTGTGCAGAAAGAATATTATGGTTTGAGACTTTTAAATGAGTCTGTGAATATTTTAGGAATCCTTCAGGTATACTTGTATTTGCTGATTTTAAGTGGTAAATAAATTAATAGATCATTGATTTAAGAGACGGTTTTTGACACATAAAAACTAATTCCGACACAGGTCACAGGGTGTCAGAATTAGTATGACACACAGGGTGTCATTTACTGTCATATTCCAACAAAGCTCACAGGGTTTTGGAATTCCAATACGACAAAATACAACTAAAATTCCTATTTTCACTCGCAAAAATAGGGTAAACGCGGTATATTCCGACATCGTAGGTAATTCCGTCACCTCTCTAGTTTTTCCTTTATATTAAGCTTTGTTTTAGTTCCATGCGTTCATTGATGGTTGAAATGGTGACGTCATACATTTGCGTGTCGAAATACTGCAAAAACACGAACGGAATTCGAACACGTGGATGTCGGCATTAAGTATCAGTTAAATTTGAAGCGCTGACGCAATACAACTCACCACGTGTCAGATATTGCCACACACAGTGACGGAATATAGGGATTTGGTAGGTTTCCATTCTAAAGGCTTTTTTTATAAATATGGCAACATTTTGTGATGTTTCATCGTTGGTGACGCGTAGTGAGGTGTTTTGAGAGTCACGTGAAGCCAACAGAACTTACGTAACGCATACGTTTTTTTTTTAGTTTTTCATTTCTCGATGCGTCCTTAATGTGTCGGAATATACCGCGTTTACCCTACGCATTATGATTTTGAAGCGCTGTCGGTCTGAGTGTTGGAATTCGTCTCGCAATATGTCGCATTTAGTCACACAGTGTCCAAGTGTCGGAATTCAGCAATTGTGTAGATTTGAATTCTAAAGGCTTTTAAATAAATAAGGCAACAGTTTGTGACGTTTCATCATTGCTGGCGCATAGCTAGTGTGGTCAATGGTCACTGTGGTGTGGTGTTTTGATAGTGACACCAATCAGAACTCAAGTTGCGCATATGGTTATTTTCTTAGATATGGCCATTTATTTCTTGCTACGTCCTTATTCCTTATTAATCCTTAAGCCTTAAGGTGTCACTATGGTGTGAATATGGTGCAGGACTGCAGGTGCACAATGCAGATTGAAAATTTAAAGACATGAATTGATTGAATTCCAAATACCTAGGATTTAATTTATAGGCCTATTATTCCCAATGCACCTGGTGACCTGCCAGACCTGGCATATCATCCCTGAATCCTGACTGTGGCATACCTATAATATATAGGCGGCTAATAGGCCTACTATAAAGATAAGATATTCATTCCACAAATAAATTGATAACCTTATACAGACGTAATTCTAATCTAAATTATAATTGGAACACAGTTCCTACGTTACCGGCAAGGGAAAAATTAATCTAAGATTGACCTTCCGGCTCAGCCAGCATCGATAGTTTTTCCTATCGACTAATCGAGTTAGCTAACCCCTACTAGATACACATAGATAGTAATTAAAATGACCAAAAATTTTAGAAAAATTGAATAGGCTATTTCGCAATAAAACAATGCGTAATGTAAATCTTCTCACTTTAATCAAGAGACAGTCAACGGTCAAGACTCAACCTGATAAACTGAATAAACACAATCAACAACATTTAGAATAAATTCAAATTAAAACTTCCGTGTAGCCTATAATGCTTTACTTGCCGTCTCGCTCAGAACTCTCGCTTCACCTCGCACTTTGAAAACACGAGCGGTCCATGGGCTAATATTGGTGCTGCCATCTACAAGCATCTTTCGAAGACTAATTCCTCACGTTCACGTTTTCATGAGCAAAATTTGACAATTCATAGCAAACGACACTTTTTCGAAAACAAACAGAAGTTGTTGATGATTCACTTGCGTTTAAGACATTAAGCTACGGTATTTAGTGAAATTAAGTCGAAAAAAATACTTCAACAGCGCGAGAAAGAAGCATCGTTAGCATCACAAATAGCTAATGGGATGGGGGGAGACATATGAAAAGGGCAATGTATCTTACCTACACGATAACTTATCCTAATAATCATGCTTACATAAAGGACGCAATTATGTATTGCGTGACAGTCCTGCTCTGCGAAAGCATCACGACTGTTTACTACTGCTTCCTGGAATAGTTTTCAGAGTAATTTTAAATTTTGCTTCTCAAACTGTATACTCAATACAATACCCATAAGTGTTGCACGAACCCTTTATTTGTTTGATAAGGAATATTACATTTATGAAGCACCGTTTAATTATTAGAAAATGTCCCTTGCAAACCGCGAATACGATTTGAGTTGATGATTTGAGAAAAACATTTGATTGATTTGAGGAAAACATTTAGAAAAGTTTTAATAAGAAATTCTGGTCTTCAACGAAACAAGTGCGTACATATTTTAATACACATATCAATGTGATTCTAACGCATACAATCTTCATGCACTTTTTAGACAATCTTCTAACTTGAGTTATTATGATTTATTTTCTTTATATTCCTCATTCAGGATTACCTTGGATTCCAGAAGAAATTGTATCATATTCTTGGATCTGCCATACAGCGGGAGAATATAATTAATAACCCGTACTATATGCACTAAGTGTGACGGCATGGTACGGTACAAATTGTCCTTATTTTCAGATAACTATTATCCTATTTTTTATTGTTATGGGTTTCAATTTATAAGTAGCGGATGTAAATTTAACAGCTCCAATACCAAGTGAGCAATTTCTCAAATCGTTACATGGTGTACTTGGAGTCCACACCAAAAACATTTGCCTTTGTAATATAAACAAAACAAATTCCGATCGTTTGACAAACTGCAAGTTCTCAACTCGCAGCCGCTACAAATTGATCAATAGTGTACTGAAACATCTCGAAATCAATTTCGAACTTTTTGAAAAGTGCCAACACCTGTGCCTTTGTTAACTGGGAGAAGAAATTTTTTATGAGCGCCGAATTTTCATCATTTTTCGACTCTATGGAATCGTTTGATCGATGCTCTTGACTCTCAGATTTTTCTATAGAAGTAATAGAGAAATTCTCAGGACTTTGATTGCTCTGCAGGTCGGAGATCGGTCTTAATTCCAGACCCTCGTCGAATGATGAGACTGACGGATGGGTCTTCCTGATGGCCAGCTCTGGGAATCCAGTTATGAAGACGAGAGTTTGCATATCTTCATCTAGTGACTCGAGCTTGAGGACTACGTTGTAAGGCACGTCACACGGCCGACAGATGATGTGGTAAGGTAGCCAGTGTTCGTTGTAGTCTTCAACGGGCGTCTCCAACAAATACTGTACGAACTCCGGGAAAGTTGGCACGTCCTTGTAAAACTCATCATGAGGCTCTTGCTGACGATACTTTGAAATAATGGGCATGTTGTAGCGCCTCAGGAATTTATTAAATTGAGTCTTTACGGACTTTGTTGATATCTTGTCCCTGAGGAAACATTAAAAGTCAAATCAAACAAAAATGACATATATAAGATTATATAAGAAAACTGAAGGCTCAGAATTCGAATTACATAAAAAATATAGTATTTTTATTTAATTTACTAAAAAGCAGTTGCAGAAGAAACTTGTTCGTTCCTTAACCGAGTAGTTAAGGAAATGAACATAGTTGACCCGTTGATGGCTGGCTGACGACGATTCGACGCTTCTCATGAAATAATAATTTTCTTTGTCGACTTTTTTCTTTTTAGAACTGTAATTTTAGAACTGTAAGCCTACGTCTCCACACTCCTGCAGTCTGAATTTAATGTAATGCAAAAGATCGCCCGCGATTAAAGTTGCCTGCACATTGTGTTTTCAAACATACAACTACAACCTCTACTTTATTTTGTCGTGCAGCTCTTAGCTCACCTATAAGCTGATATCAGCCTGAGGAAGGGATGCCTGACTACCATGAAGATGGTGCCAGCTTCAGGCGGCTGCTCGGCAGCAGAAAGATGGGGCATGAGTCTCCTGAGGGCGGTGTGCTGACGACTAATTCCGAGCTCCTCTATGAGATTCTCTCTACCCACGACCTTCAGCAGCGACTGTACCACCGACGTGGACGCCACCTTCGGGACCTGATGGGAATTCTGCGTAGTTGAATTATGCGATTTTCGATGTTGTTTTGCCTGAAACTTTCATATACGTACATTGAATATTCAATGAAAATAACAGAAATTCAAGTTTTCCCTAGGAATTAATAGTTCGGTTAACAGAACATGCGCATTCAGCGCGTTACAATTTCGGCGTTATTTATAAAAGTTCAGTCAAACAGGAAGCGAACTTAAAAGGAATTATGATCTGTTATCATAATCGCATGTTATATATATTTACATGTTGGCTAAAAAACGTAGATAACATTAACACCGAACAATCTCCCTTAAATTGATAACATTAAACAGATCAAGCCGCATGCCTCGCGACGCTAATAATTAAGTTTCAAACACTGACTAACCTTGCACCATGCGAGTCGGTGAGCCCTGGACACCAAGATGTCGGGGCTGGACTGTCGTCTGTTCAATAATAGCGGTGTTACAATTCTATTATATGCAAATTTTCCGCTATAAAATAAAAAACTGCGTTGTAACACGTCCATGCGACAATATTTCTTCTCGCTTCGAGTCACCGACATGTGGAACAGCCTCCCTGATAGCATCGTTTAAGCTCTGAGTATGAACATCTTCAAAAACAGACAAGACGAAGCTATGCAGGAGCATATGTTCAGTCTTGAAATGCCTAGCAAATTACGGACCAGGCAATAAGTCCAGCAGCTATCTCAATCAATTGTCAGTTATGGAAAGATCGGGTTCCAAAGGCCGGATCCCTTGTGAATCAAGTCACGAAAAGTTCAAGAATCAGCAACAGGCCATGGGCCTATTTCTTCAATGCCGACACTTCTAGTCTATTCTATTCTAATTAGACTAGCATTTATATAGAAGCGCTTAGTCAACGAAGTAAGAGGAGAGAAAAAGAAGTGCCGACTCAGTCTCTACAGTTGATTTGTAGACAAGCGAAGCGCACGGTACGCGACGTGCATTGTATCCCATAGCGCACACCACCGCAGTCAGTAAATTCAGGAGAAGGTATTTAGGCTTCTCCGCTCGCATCGGGGATTGTGTCGATATTGAAATACGGTCAAATACAATAAAATCTGCATTACTTCCCCCTGAACAATGGGCGATCGTGAGGGACATAAGCAATGGGATGCAGGAATAAATTACTCGAAGCCGCGTCGACAGAAATGAAAACACAACCTTGACGTTTGTGGGGTCCCGTGCAAGAGGTAAATTCAAGTCGATATCTGGCTAGATCATGGGTCACATGATTGTATTCCGGCAGGAACTGTGACTGCGGCTGCAAGTTAAGACGTCTGATGGTCAACAAACTGGACTGAGATGCCATATAATCAATGTATATTATGCGGTTTGCATCTCATAAACATCGTTGATTTTAACATATTGCCATTCCCGCCCTAAAATGTTCAATCTCTGTAACCCGAATCTAATTAGATTTTCTCGCTAAGTAAAATTTCTCGCCAGAGGATTATAGATTTTATCAGAAAAAGAAGGAGACGTGTGATAAAATACAATAACATATAATATTATAATTATGTCGTCATGATAGATATACCATGTAGAGAGGTGCTGAACCATGAGAACTAGAATCGTAAAAATGCGACGCTAAAAGGCGTCAAGCGTGACATACAGTATCATCGGTCTTTTAAAATGAGTGTATGAAATTATATCGGAATCGGCGACAGGCCACATCAGGCCTACACTTCAGCGCCGACATCACTATGTTATGTTATGTTATATGGATAAGTAATTAGTTGATTGGGAGCAATTATATTGATTGGGAGCAAATAGCGCAAGAGAATAAGTACGATGTACTGGCAGAGTTAGTAGCGATGAGTCAATTTGGTTACCCGGTACGAAGGTGGGCGTGGCTGCTGCAGTACTCCGCCAGGTGTTGGCCTAGCCTCTGCGCGGCTGGGGTGTCGGGTGCCAGCGCTGTGCTGCGCTGAATCTTCAATACGGCAAGAACTATTATTGCTAATTTTTTTTATAATTATTTTAAAGGCAACTATCGAAAACAAAAAAAAGTGATTCAATATAGCTGATTGTAGTAAGAGAATCCAGGAAATAACTTTTTTTTTATCAAAATAAAGTAGTTGAAGGATTTCAAAAGTCACGTAACGGTGACGCGTCACCAAACAAAAGTGTATCTAAAACACAGCTTTATGCAACGACTGAAAAGAATAAGATCAAAATAGACTATCCTCATTAATTCATAAAAAAATAATATATCTAAATAGTCAGGGTTTCTTTCATCACTCACAGCAGGCACTACATGTTTTTGATCGTCGCCCCACCCGCAGTATGCAGTGAACAGCACGACATAAGGCAGCGCGAGCAGCAGAGCCAGCAGGAGGTTCATGGAATGCCACTGCATGTCTGTCGCAAGACCGGTAAAAGAAAGCGTCACTGGAACATAAGCACAGTGGCTGACTGGAAAAGTGGGACCAGTGGGAAAAGCCACACAGTGGGACCATTAAACTATTTTAAATATTACAATATTGTATTGAACAGCAGTTTGAGGTGGTCATGGCACACAAGTTATTGCATTGATTGATGTGGTATAGAGACGCGTTGCCCTGTTCTGCATCCTTCTGTGAGCCGCATTTTGTTTTAGGGAAGGTGTAAGGTTCAAACGAGGAATACTCCAATTAATTAGGTTGGAAACTCGAACCAATACTACTAACGATCCTCAACAAGAGAGAAATGAGAGCATAATAAACAACTTTTTATTGAGTAAAACATGCCAATTCAACACTGATAAGATTAACTGGTAAAAAAGTTATAGTAGAAAGCTAGGTCAGGACAACTACGACAATGAGCATGGGGTGGGTGATGCAAAGCAATGAGCAATAAAGATATACAGCAACAAAAGTGTACAGCAATAAAGGTGTACAACAATGACGGTGTACGGCAATGGGCGGGTGGAGTGCACAGCAATGATGGTGCACAGCAATAATGGGCACTGCAATGACGGTGCACTATAATACTATGGAACAATTCCATATAAGTCACCTACATGAATACATTTAAAGAATTCAGAGACTATGTTCAAAACTCAAACGCTTAACTAAAGTGCAAATGCACTAACACCCACCTAATAGAGACACTACAGGTACACTTGCTAACAGTGTACCTGTAGAGTGTAGGCACGCTCCGTACAAGTGGCAGTAATCGAATGAGAAGATCTTCAATTAACACCTGCTTCAGTCCAGGTGTTAATTCAGCCCATGCAGGTGTATATAATGCTATGTCAGCGGATAGCATGGTTGCCACCTCTACCAGCAAAAGTAGAATTTACGACGCGAAAAGAATTTTAAATAACTTAAATCCTTGAGAAAAGGTGAATTTCCCTTACATGAGGTACAAATTGAGCCAACTGAATATTTTGCTATCCATATTAAATGTAATAGGCGTGCCCATTTCGCGAGGTACCTAAAGCTCTCCTGTGTGAATAATTACTATATAATAGGATCAAAATCATTACATGAGATAAATAGTTAGCTGATTCATTATTATTAAAATGGCGGCCGAATATTTCCAAAATGGTTGTTTGGGGTACAATAGGACAGTTCGTTGTGAAGTACATTGGGACAGTGTCCACCATTATTGAACTATACAAGGTTGACCCACGACGATTTCCTCTTTTTAGTTCAGCTTTTTGTTACGTCACGTAGATCGAGAAACGTAAGTAAACCCTTCATTCCCCTGACGGTTTGGTTGACTGGTTCGATCGCATTTCGGTGAATGGTTAATGCCTGTGACGAAAATGGGTCACAGGCATCTCATGGGTCAACCTTATACTAGTTCAACCATAGTGTTTACTAGCTGTCCGTGTCCTAGCACCTGCCAATTATTCAAGCCGGCTACTTCCGATATGAAAAAGAAATTGTCGGTTCGCCGCCAAATATTCGTTGACAGAGATACTCGGCTCTCTTCATCATCTCCATCAGGAGAAAAATTTCTATTTTGTACACAATTCATCTGATGTAATAGAAGAAGAAAATTTAGTGCAGGAAAAGGTTCGAAAAATTTTCCGGCCATTACAGAGAGAACGAAAGCTCCATGATTCTTTAGAACAGCTCCATAATTCTTTTTAATTTAATTTCACGGAGCCAAAAACATATTATGTTGCTGGATAACAGAGCAAAAAGACGAAGATGAAAAATTTAAAAAACCTTACTTGCGCCGTATAGGGCGAATGCAAAGCGTTCTATTTTTTTTCCTGGTGTCGCAAATCTTGTGTCAATCAGTCTGGGAGATATTTAATCCATTCTGAGCAACTAAACGCCTAATAAAATCAAGACATAATTATAACCTGACATTTGACTATAATTTTTAATATTACAATTAGGTAAAGTGTCCCAATGTGTCCATGAACTGTCCCACAGTACCCTGGGCCGGCGTACTGTGGGACATTTTATTTCTTTTTTTTTATAAGTATTAAAATCACTTGTTTGCTTGAATCGCAAGTTAAAGCAGGAATTTAAAAGCAAAGACAATACCACAAAAATTCACCATATCTTTATAAGAGAAAACGTTTCGGAGTCCAGCTTCATCGTCAGTTCATAACAGAAAATTCTGTTCGGAAAAAGTTCTAGGACTGAACTTTTTCTGAACAGAATTTTGTGGTATGAACTGACGATGGAGCTGGACTCCGAAACGTTATCTCTTGTAAAGATATGGTGAATTTTTGTGGTATTGACTTTGCTTTTAAATTCCTTCTTTTTGTTTTATTTTATAATTTCTAGTCAGAGGAACAGTTCTGATCACTGCTTAGGTACTTAGCAACCTACAAAAGAAATTGATGCTTAGTTTTATTTAGCATTTTGCATTCTATAGAAGAAGTTAAGAGTGCTATGTTAATTAAATTCATCGGCCAATTATACCCGGGTGCATTTTCCCTACCCACAAATATGGTTATAGCCCGAGAAGTCTAATTCTCAAATACCTCATTTTTTGCACATTCCTACAATTTATACTATGTCCCGTGAATAATTGCGCAAAAATCCTACATGTTACATATAATTATGTAACATGTGTAACCTCAATTACTTCAAACCAATTCACCTTAACTCTTTCATGACATGGGAGCGTCAATCCTGGCGTTACTCGGTGTGAATTTTCCTGAAAAATTTTTTCCGTTTCGATAGAGCGTCGATGAAATGAAAAGATTGTAAACGGATCGCGATCAAAGAAAGTTGAATCTCTGCTGTCAATGGGACCCGAAGTTGTCATCTGAAAACAGTTAAAACACAAATACGTTTGACTTTTAAATGAATTCGAAGAACCAATTTTACCTGCCAAGGAAACTGTAGCGGAGGAATCGTACTTTTGGGCAGAGGATTCGAGACCAATCAACTATGGCTGCGATAAATTTAGCGATTCTGGCACTCATTTGTTGTATTCAGATATGTTATTATGATGAGCATAAGCATCGATGGCCAAAGAATTGGCTCACAAATTTGTCACAGTACCGGACGAAGACAGATATGACATTCTTTTCTTATTGATTATTGTAGAACATTCGATCTCAAGAGAATCACCTTCACACTAGTGACGTATGTAAAGGTGCCTGTACACGGGGTTAGAACTGGCCGCTAGTCCATCCGCCTCTTGAACTGTCCACGCTACTAGCCTCGTGTATAGGGGCTCAGCCGCTTCAGTGCCCGAGACGCGGCCGAGAGGGACAACGATGTGTTGTTTTCTTCGCTGGAAAAGCGGACAGTAGCGCTGATGCAGCCATGGTGAGAGTATCTGTGCCGCTCTTGTGAAATATCTTTGGTCTTGTGACTCATTGCTTTTTTTGAACGATAATGGTTCTAAGAAGAACACAACAAGTGGAGTCCAGACGATATTCAATTGTTCTTTTAGATATTCCAAAAATATGAATGGAATGTTTGCCATGCTGTTACTCCAACAAAATGAAGAGAGAAACGAGTATTTTAAAACTGAAAGAAGCCCTTATTAGTCAGGGTTTAGTTGTTCCCGACGTTTAATTCCTAGAATAAAGAGTATATAAACAACGCACACAATAGTTGTTTAAGGTGATCCCACTATCCATCTTCGCAGACTTCACTCGACGGCTGCTAACGACGCACTGGCGGGCGCGAACGAGAAGATAGCGGCACCTCAAACTCTCCTCGCGTACATGCAGGCTTACTTGCCGGATAGTTACCTACGACCGACACTTGCCAGATCTACTTGCCGCCTGCACTATCCCCGTGTACAAGCACCTTTACGGCCGTTCTGTAGGATTTGGTGAACATGACCTTGAAATGCACCGTGCATCATAAATGATACAATCAAATTTTTGCCTATAAAGGCTAAGGTAATCAGGCAACTTGGCTGCAGCAATTTTTGAATCAAATAAGAGACATGCAAGTCGAACGATAACGAACGTGTTCCATCGGTGTTGTGTGGCACGCTGAACTTGAGCAACCTAGCGTGGTCCTACATTAATGTGTGCATTTAAAATAAAAATGGCCTATCAACGAACTATTTCAGTCCAAGTTCTAAAGAAAGGCCCCAGTAACATTATTCTAACCAGTTTAGCTCTGCTCAAAATTCCCTGTTATCAGTTACTATGCTTAGTTAACTTTAGCATTAAAGTAAAGCCACATTCTCTGGTTGACTTTAGGAGTAATGAGTGTACGTCACTGCCTCCGACATTCATAACATAACATAACATAGTGATGTCGGCGCTGAAGTGTAGGCCTGATGTGGCCTGTCGCCGATTCTTTTCCTTTTCGTGCCTTGTTCATAGATCTAAACTCGGGTCATTTGACCGGATCTTTTCATGACTGACGATAGTTTGAAGTAGCTAGTAGACTTCCACCGGGTTCGATAAGGAGCTAGGCATTTCAAATCTGAACATATATTTTTTCATAGCTTTATCTAGTCTGTTCTTGAACGCGTTCATACTTGGAGCGCCAACGATGTCATCGGGGAGGCTGTTCCACATGTCGGTGATTCGAAGCATATCGTAATTCATCGGATAACTATGAAGAAGTCGAGTGAATATGAATGATATTCACACGATAAATGCCTAGAAACACGCTAACAATATAAATTTCTATCGTGATTATCCAGGCCAGCAAATTGACGGGTAATAAAAAGACATTTTAAGTGAAAAAAGTTCAATCAAGTACTTCACTTGCTTCCAATTGAACAAGCAAGAAAATTTGGAGAAAAGTTATACAGCAGCAATACATTGACACGCTGAAAAAAAAAATCTAGTAAAATTAGGATTCCTGTTTGACTTACTTCCTCGTGAATAAAAAAATCACGAACCTCAGAAGACTTGTTCAGAAACAAACATATTAACGAAATGGAAACATAATCATCCTGACAATCTAGATTTGTGAACGCCCGAATTTACGAGGAAATGATCAAAAATTAGTTAGGAAATGTTCTCTTACCGCAGAGACCATGCAGTTAAGCTTGCTTGGCCCGTGGTCCCTAAACTAAGGAGAATTTGTTCTATGAAGCAATAACAAATAAAGATATATGAACAAAAACGATAGGAATGAACCTAGGAAACAATCAACACTTGAGAAATTCACGGAAGAGAGCAAACTTGATTTTGCATACTTAATTAAACTGAACAAAAACGATAGGAATGAACCTAGGAAACAATCAACACTTGAGAAATTCATGGAAGAAAGCAAGCGTGATTTTGCATACTTAATTAAACTACAGTCATTTTGTTGATGATCGACCAGATACTACATTAGTAGGCACTAAAACACCACAAAACTTGCACAATATTCGTCACTTTTGGTAAAGAGCAAACTTAAGCCTCGACTTTATTTCAATATCTTTGCAGTGATAATAATTTACTAGCATATTAATGAGGCAGCAAACAATAGAACAACAGTTGGAACAAATCAAGCAGGTAAAGAATCAAATTATCTAATTTGAAACCCTTCAAAGATCTATTTTTTTGTTTCTTTAATAATCAAGACTTATGGAAAAAAGTTCATTCAAATCAAGAAAGATAATAAATAATTATCAAATTTAAAAAGAAACAATTATTTTTGATCATCTTCTCGTTCTTAATAGCGGAACAAAAAAAAAAATTACCTTTATCCAGCTGATAACCGAATTCCATACAAAATACACGTATTTCAAAATTAGAAGGCAGGAAAATGAGATATTGCACTCGTTTCCGCCATTGCTGCATTTCATGTCCACTGAACAGACTTGTAGAATATAACGCAAGTTGAACACGACCAGAACCAATGAACAAATTAATATGAATACAAAAGAAAAACTGCGATGACTAACATACAAGCGGTTTTCTTATCAATAATGAGGTAATACTGAGAGAAACTAACTTAAGATCGGTATCAAAACTTGAACTGCTGTCAAGGAAGCACCAGCATGAGAAAAGAACACGCACAATAATCATACTTGGCTAAGCTTAATAAATTGATAACAATACAGTGTTATTATCGACACAAGCTAGCACAGCAGGGAACTCACAACACTTCCCTGTTTCTCCACAGATGCTTAATAGTTCGCTATCATTTGAGCAAACCTCCTTAGGAGCTACAGCCATCGTCACACGAAAAAACATCGTTAACATCAAAACGCAAGTACGCAAGACAATTTTACCTTAAAATCAAATAACCTACGTCGTCTGAAAGTAGAAATAAACAATGAGTAAGTTCGCACGTTTCCAAGCATGAATCAATTGTAATCATTACCACACAGACGCAAATAATTACTTATTCATAAGGGTAACTTATTTGGAAACTGAAAATGCTTGAGCAACGATCATAAATGCATTTTAGGCGTTAACTGGCAATTCAAGAAACTTAGATTGAGAGCAAACTTTAGCATTTGGGTTGCATTTATAACCTGGTAGCAGCGCTAAAGGGATGCATAATCACAAAATGAAAAGCTAAGTAGAATCTACAATGTAACTTAAAATGCTTGGTAGGTAGTACCTACAATCTATATGACCGAGAATTCTTCTTTTGTCTGAAAATGAACACAGCCCCCGGAAGACCCCTAGAAAATGAGCGCATATGTGTATTGATGTTCTTCTCTAGCTCGCAACGTAAGATATCTACGTAATTAATCGGTTATCTCTTGACGTTATTGTGATTTGTTGACTTTTGAGATTTGGCAGCTGCCATTTCTTGTAGTTTGTAAGCAGCTGTATGGATCTTGAAGCCATAAAGTCTAGGTACAAACTGCACGCTGGGACGCTTTGGTCGGTACTCAGGATGCACCATGAAGAGCATGTGAGGAAATCCCGTGCCGTAGTATGAGCCGTCGATGTGATTATGACGAGACGATTTAGGAGTGTAAACATCACAACATCTTGGGCAGTAGAGCTTCACCATCGCCTCGCCTGGCACGTCACTCAAGCCGATGGGCAGCATTTGCTGAAATGATAAAAATTTGAGTAAGCTAGCATTAAAATGCTCACTGCTGAAAGTTGGGAAAATATTTTATTTACTTGTGTTCGAACAATAAAACAAAACATAATAAATATGGCATTTATTACCATGGGCATTGAATCAGACACAGATCATGGGATAATATAAATCAAGGTACATTGATTGAAGCAATTACTACTACATAAGAATTTACTTTCAAGTCCAAACCATGATAAAAAATATAAATAGAAAAATGGCAAATCAATTTGATGATAGTTGACCACTTTCATTCACCTGATACTCACAGTAGACCCCCGGACAATGCGCAATATCAGACCTGGTTCTCACAGTAGACCCTCGGACAATGCAATATCAGACCTGGTTCTCACAGTAGACCCTCGGACAATGGCCAAAATCGCCAGCTTGGTATTTTTCAATCATCTGAGCGATGCCTCTGTTGGTGAGGATGTAGCGGGCATGGATGAGGCCGTAGAGCATCTCAGCCGCCTGCTCCACCAGGTCACTTTGGTGTGGATCTTCCACTTCTTTAATGAAAAATAACAAATAATTATATAGTTAAGGTATAAACTCTTCTGTTCTGGAGAGCAAAAAAAAAAAAAAACTGTTCTGGAGACCAAAATTCAAAATCCTGCAGTGGATCAGAAATTTGAGTTTATTCACGGAAGACTATACAAAAAATGTATGAGAAAAAAAACCAACAAATATACAAAAAGCATGAGCACAAGGCTTTAAAGGAGAAGGTATTTGCTGGGGACTAATTATTTGGAGCTCAGTAAAAAACAAATATGCAGGGAAATCTAAGCTTTCTGTTTAGGTCTCAATGAGAACTAAGAAAATTTTCATGAAACCTGCACTAGAATTGCATATTTCAATCGCCTATCAATCCAGAACATAGATACAATTTCAGGTAAACCATCAATGCATCTAGCGGTAAACACAACTCAATTCATCATTCCAATATTATACATAATTCAGAGTTATTAAGGTATTTTTTCCTTATTATATTAAAAAATATGTTTTAAACTACTATTTAAAAGTATTGATGCTTGGCTTATTAAAACTGGAAACCAGAAACCACCAACATAAACATTTCCCCCATTTGCTTTAATTACAACATACAGGTTACTATACAATTCAATACAATATACACATGAAAACACAAATAGAAAATATACAATTACATAACAACCCACATACATGAATACATGTCCACGCATATCTCAAAACAAACCACCTATATATTTTGCAAAATATCTCATTAAACCAATGTACAAACCTCAAAAATCCCTAAAATATGTGAACACCAGTATCTAAACCAAAAACTACATCATTACACATTTACACAAACCTTATACTAGCTCAACGTAACTAACCCAACTCCATACTAATATACCCTAGCAAGACCAAACCTAACCTTACCAAACCTACCTTATCCTAACCTACCTTATCCTAACCTAACCTATTTTAACTTACTATCTTAACCTAACCTACCCCAAGCCTAACCTAGTCTAAATTAACCTAACCTACTCAAAGTAACACAGTGTTAGAAACATAACACTGTCATAACAAAAAACAGAAAACTAGTTAATTAAATCAGGTGACCATTTAAATTTACAGTCCTGTTAGCAAGGTTATTCATGATAATCAATCACAAAAATATACCCTTATACAATCTGAAGTCACTGTTGTATGTCTCTCCAGCATGATTCTCACTGGTAATTCAAAGGAGCAATAACTGGCATAAAACCCTGGCGTCCTAAAACCATACACAGCCCAATGTGTTGGAAAGTCAATCTCTTGCGCCCATCTCTATGTGGATGGTCAAGTCTATTGGAGCTTGGATTATGATTTTGCAGGAGGCTTAGATTTTGAAGCAGTTTTTCAGTTTTTTGATTTTTGAAAAAAGTGATAACTAAATTTCTGCAATAGCATCTTGTAGAACACATCTGGAGAAGTTTTTTGGACAAAAAGAATATCTATATGGGATGTGTGGAACATGTATTTTTTGTGGTTATGCCAATCCTGAACTTCAAATCCAAATGGACTTAAATTTGATACAATTTATTTTCTTTGGCTTTTTAAAAAAAGTCTAAGTGATGACTAAATTTTTCTAATGGCATCTAACATGTCTGAGGAAGATTTTTCTTCTCCAAATAAAGATTTTTTGGGATGCCTGGAATGTGCAATTTTTTGCACTTCAGTAATTTTTTGTTTTTCTTGATTAAAAAAGTAAATGACAACTAAGTTTTTCTTACAGCTTTGCATGGAACACATCTAGGGAAGTTTTTTTTTAACTGAATGAAAATTTTTGTGTAATGCCTAGAAAATGTATTTTTGGCTGTTTGGTTAATCCTGGACTTAAATTTTGAAAGACACTGACATATTTTTTCTTCAACTTCTTTAAGAAAGGCTAGAAGAAAGAAGAAGTAATCACTTCTTGAAGAAAGTGATGACTATATTTTTCTAATGGCATCTAAAAGAACCCATCTGGTGAAACAGCACCGAGAAAATTTTTCCAACAGCATCTTCTATAACGCATCTGAGGCTTTTTTGAATAGATAAAGATTTTTACAAGATGCCTTGAAGATTTTATCAATACTGTACTTGGAGTCTGGACAATTTTTTGTTATTTTAATTTTCTAAAAAAGTACAATCAATGACAAAACTTTTTCATGATTATTTTACAGAACATATATGGTAAGCTTTTTTGACTAAATAGAGATATTTAAGCTTACTGGGTAAGCTTAAATCTGTGGGATGCCTAAAACATGTATGTAGGTATATTGGAAGTTTTGTCATTTTTGAGATTCTTTGCATTTTTGCAAAAAAAAGCAAAGCAATGCCAATAGGTATTAATCCAAGGGCAACTTATAGAACATGTCAGTGAAAGCGTTTTTAACCAAACAAAGATTTTTGTGAGATGCCCAGAAGATGAATTTTTTGCCATTCTTAAAAAAAGTTAATCATAAAAATTTATCTGGGAGAGCTTTTTTGAAAAAGTTGCCACATGCAATGTGAGTGCAAATGATGCTTTTGAATTGTTTGGAATCATCAGCAAGACCCTAGTATGCATTTTGAAAATCTCAAATGCCAAAGTTGACACCATACCACGGACAAATAAATGGTTATCGAAACTCGTATCTTAACAAAAATTTACATTATAATTTTTCTGTTTGCCCACCATTTATCCCTCTATGCCACAGACAGCCTGAGTAATAATTGAATCACAAAATAAATTCTGGCACACCTGATTGTTGAGTCATTGCACTTCTTTGGAACCTGGGCCCTCAGCTATTCCAGCACTTAAAGAAGTTCTATCAAATATCTTGTGAGTGACACCCCAATTATTTACTTATTTACAAGTTTTTCCCAAGTGACTTTTTTTAACTATTCAAAATTGCTTAGCTTCAAACAAAAATTAAAAAAAAGGTTGAGTTGGTTGAAATTTTTTCACACAGATGGAAATATCTCATTGATATCTGTCAAATGAGATGTTTGAACATAAATCTTGATTATAAATTATTTTATTTCTAATATTCTCAAAGTTATTTTTGACTTTCAATTAATAATTCAAAAAGTTGTAGAAACAGTTGAATGAAGTGAAAATAGGATTGTAGATAAAGCTTTTGCCTCTAATTCAGAATTAGAACAAGACCCTCTAAACCTCAAGGTTGTTTCACCAGAGCCTTTCTAATTGGGTCACTTCTAGATATTTTTCTGCAATTTTCCAAGCACTTATGAGGCTTTGGAAAAACCTACATTTTGATTTTCACCAATTTTTCTTGCATGCACAAGATTACAGGGAATAATTTCACTTGGTATAACTGATATAATTTTTTGAGTGTCTAAAATGTTATTAAATTTTATATAGTTTGTTTTTATTAATTTTTATATGCAGGTCTTTCAGAAAAATATTTTCATGACAAAAAATGTGGGCCAGGGTTCAATTAGCTTACAATCAACAACTTGGAGTACTAGGTCATGTGTTGGTAAGCTAGAGGCTAAAAACCAGATTTTCATGTATAACTGTTGAAATTGTGCTTCCATCCTTCTTGAAACATTTCTTGGATGCATCCAAGTGTTTCCAAGTGACTTTCCAAATTGAAGAAAAATCAAATAATAATTTTGGCCAAAAAATGCCAGATTTTCAAGTTCAAGTTTCTAACTATAAATGCTACTCTGGTAATAATGCAAAAGTTAAAGATGGTGCCCCCAAATGTCTCTTTTGGGTTTGACCAATTAAGGCCCCAAATAAAAGGTCACCATCTGACTGGCATAGTCAAGGAGAGACCTAAGATTATATTTATTTAAGAATATTCACAAAGCCCTGCTAAAATTGGCTCGCATGAGCGCATTGAACTAGATCAATTCAAATAACTGAATTAACAAAAAGATTTTTTATAGCTCTCAACTCGTGACATGGATACAAAAAGTATTCACTAGCAAAATAATATAATAATAATAATAGTGGTTTCAGCGCTTAGTAGTACGGTATTCTTGACATCGCAGAACATTCACAGTATTTTGCAGTCTCAAACACGCAACTCACTGCTACAATTCTGCTTTGCTTAACCGCCCGGCCTACTCGCCGATTCTGACCAGAAACTGGCGCACAGAGCAGGGACCAAACCTGCACCTCTCTGCGCCAATCTTGGTATTGTGAATTTTAACCACTGGGCCACCCTGCCACCAGTGCAGGGTGATTCCTAATTACATGGAATGATTCATAAAATGATTTATAACTACAGGGAACCTCTGAAAGTATGCCTACATTGAAGGATCTTACCAGGCTCAATATCTAAAATAGTGTCAAGAGCCTGCTGGTAGTGAGGCACTTGGTCATTAAGGCCAGTCAAGTTGAATTTGTCTTGAATATATTCTTCATCAACCTGAAACATAAATTGTTCCATATTAAATTATTATGAAGGCAATTTTAACAGTAGATAGCACAAATGCATGTGTAAAACATAAGATTCTGATATAATATTCCATGGGAGAACAGATAAAACTTGTATGGAATGCTATATATATCAGCATATCAGCTGCATGATGATAAATTGCAAAAACAATGTACAGTGAACATTTAAATAAAATAATTCATCTCCTCCAACAAAAGTTACATAGTAAAACTACAAAAAATGTCAGATCAACATGACTTTTTGGAACTGAAATTCAAAAAACAATAAAGGGTAAGCTGCAATGATAAGATTGGTTGTAGCTTTGATACTCCACTGTTAAATAGATGTATTTTACTATTAATAAAACAGCCAGTCTAGGCAATGCATTTATTTGGCCATCCATGTTTATTTTATTTGTGATAGCATTTGAATGAATTTTGATGGAAGGTTGAACACTTCATTGTGGACTTTTTGTCCACTGAAACAACAAAAGATTGGTGTGAATGCACCTTGACAAGGCATAATTCTGGCTTTCTTAAATTTAATTCCATCATTACTTGCATTTAGAAGTTTAAAAAATACCTTAAATAACTAAAACTTACCTCACAGAAGTACTCATTGCCTCTCAGGCCACAAAACCAAGAGATCCATGAAACTTCCTCAGAGCTGCTCATGGTGATGTGTGGTGGATTTGCTGGTTACAAGTTTCTGCACAGGAAAAATAACACAATGATCAATATAATTTGCACACTTAAAAATATATACGTAAAATGGGGTAATTTTGACCATTTTTTTTCAAAATGATGCCATTTTTTTACTAGATAAGTAAAGTATTTGATTTGAGGGCATGAAGCAGCAAATGGAAGAGAAAGGTGGCAATCAACTATATGACATGAGAAAACAGAGATGCATCTGTATTAATACATGCATGATGGTATAGCAGGGGCTGTTCTATGTGAGGCCTAAAATGTGCATGGACACACATATATACACATAAATACAAGTGGAATGATAGGAGAGAAGATGTGTGTTTCATGTATGACAGGTGAGTGGAAAACTATGGAGCTAAGTTGAGTTTATTCACACCTCAGAAGGTTGCAAAGAAACAAATGATTATCACATAAGTGATGTACCTAGGAAGGATATTATCAGTCCCAGCCTTAAGGATTGTCCAGATGTAATAAAGATGACTAAATCATTGTGATATAAATGAGATAGAGCAATAATAGATCACACTATTCCACAGCCTTCTCTCCTGGTCCCTTTCCTTCACACACCTAAACTGGGGATTAGAAAATTTTTCACACCCTTGCCTCTAGTTTCTTATGTGTGCTTGATTCTCTCTCCTCCATACTTTCCTCTAACAACATTAAATTATGTTGCTCATGTGTGGCACCTCACATAGGCCCTTACTCAGTATTCTCTCAGGGTCATCATGTCTCAAATCCAAAGTTCATCTGTTGCATATTTTTATTATTCTTTCTGTTGTAAATTCATATCTGCATTTCTAGACAGATTTATCATAGTACTACAATTTATGACATATGATCATGTCTGACACTGAGCATTTTATCACTATAACAATTAACTGGACATTTATCACATCACTATATCAATTCACTGGGCATTTAATCACTATGGCAATTCACTGGGCATTTTATCACTATCGCAATTTACTGGACATTTTATCACTATAGCAATTCACTGGGCATTTTATCTCTATAGCAATTCACTGGACATTTTATCTCTATAGCAATTCACTGGGCATTTTATCACTATAGCAATTCACTGGGCATTTTATCTATATAGCAATTCACTGGGCATTTTATCTCTATAGCAATTCACTGGGCATTTTATCTCTAGCAATTCACTGGGCATTTTATCTATATAGCAATTCACTGGGCATTTTTATCACTATAGCAATTCACTGGGCATTTTATCTCTAGCAATTCACTGGGCATTTTATCTATATAGCAATTCACTGGGCATTTTTATCACTATAGCAATTCACTGGGCATTTTATCTCTATAGCAATTCACCGGGCATTTTATCACTATAGCAATTCACTGGGCATTTTATCACTATAGCAATTCACTGGGCATTTTATCTCTATAGCAATTCACTGGGCATTTTATCACTATAGCAATTCACTGGGCATTTTATCTCTATAGCAATTCACTGGGCATTTTATCACTATAGCAATTCACTGGGCATTTTATCTCTATAGCAATTCACTGGACATTTTATCTCTATAGCAATTCACTGGGCATTTTATCTCCAGCAATTCACTGGGCATTTTATCTCTATAGCATTTCTCTGGGCATTTCACTAGCGCATTAATTATGTGCCACACATAAGTACCTATACATATGTTGCCTCCGTAACCCTCAGTGTTGCATGCTAATTTTGGTATAGAGGATTTTTTCTTCTTGTCTCTTTCTGTTTTGTGTTTTATTGCTACATGATAGAGAACTTGTCCATCATGTAAACAACTTGTCCATCGTGTAGCCCACTTGTCCATCATGTAAACAACTTGTCCATCATGTAGCCCACTTGTCCATCATGTAGCCCACTTGTCCGTCATGTAAACAACTTGTCCATCATGTAGCCCACTTGTCCATCATGTTGCCCACTTGTCCATCATGTAAACAACTTGTCCATCATGTACCACACTCGTCCATCATGTAGCCCACTTGTCCATCATATTGCCCACTTGTCCATCATGTAGCCCACTTGTCCATCATATTGCCCACTTGTCCATCATGTAGCCCACTTGTCCATCATGTAGCCCACTTGTCCATCATGTAGC